GGCCACAAAAATAAACAAATGCAGTAAAAGCAGCATAATGTCAGTTCATGCATTGTATTATTGAAAATTATGTCCTTTTTGGCAAGTAATATTACACCATATTTTTGACACGATTGAAATGCATCCACTTTGATGTGATATTTAAACTTTTTTTTTTGCTGTGTAGAACTTTAGAAAAGCTATAGAACTTTTTGATAGTGCAATACACGGTAATTCTAGAATACTCCTTTTATGACTATGTTTCACACATTTTTGAGAAAACGGTTTATACGTCAAAAAATGTTTAGATTTTAGTTACAAACGAAGAGTACTTTTTATGCATTTCCGAGTATGTCAACGACGAACAAAAATGTGTAAAAAGTATTCCCGTTGAGAAAAGAAAATTTACGCCGCGCTCGACGCCGTGACATGCCGCCATTTTCCAAACAGCTTTCATTGGAAAAGCAGTGTTTTAATTCAGTTCCCGGATTATTTTTGTGAAAGTGTCAGCGGAAAATGCAGGAACTGTCAAAAACTTTAGAACAGGACGTATTCACGACACTGGCAGGTAATTAAAGCATTTACTTTTATGGTCAAGCAAATTTTAACCAAATAAAAAAGGTCTCCCCTGCCCTGTGGCCGGATGAAATTTACGCATATCAGGTTGTGTGCAACAATTGAGAACACACATTAAAAAATACCACAAGATGAAGACCAGCTCAAAGAATGCAGTTCCTTTTCGGTGTGGCGATTGTGGTACTATTTTTACGTGCTTCAAACGGCTCAAAGATCACATAGTGAACCACCATCAGCCCCTCACACTGCCAAAATTGGAGTTCACTAATCCTCTGGAAGCGATGGAAACGGAAACTGAAGACGTAGTGGTTTCCCTGCCTAAGGAAGGAATAACGAATCCTCATTATTTTACGGAATCCATTTCACGAGAAGGGCTGATGGGAATCGCTTCAGCTTTCATCACTGCAGTTCGATCTGATGTTTCACTTACTGAAACCAAAATCAAGTTATTTATGGAACATTCCATTAATATGTTGAGCATCTATCAGTGTTTTGTTTTCAGTCTCTTAAAGAAATTTCTAAGTGCTAAAAATCTCGCTGTAGACGATAATGTAGTTCAATTAATTAATGCAATGGCGATTCCAGATTTGTACTCAGATGTTAAGAATCGTGATAGTAATGTAAGTTTTCTTTCTGGAACTGCTCAATGTAGCGTTCCGGAACCTGAAGAAATTCTGCTAGGATCTCGGAAGATTGTTAAAACCACTTCCTATCAACGATATACCGACAAGAGGGCCAAGAAAACAGTCCGATCTGTCAAGAAGACAAGTACAGTGAAAGATACCATGCATTATATTTCGGTGAAGGATACTATTTCCCTTATAATGCAAAATTCAGATGCTAGAAGTATGGTTACGAGTGAACAAAAAGCAGACAGCAACGTGCTCAATAGTTTTAAGGATGGTTCTCTATTCGAAGCCAATGATTTTTTCAAAAAATATCCATTTGCTATTCGCATATCTTTGCATGTTGATGATATTGAAACCTGCAACCCCCTCGGTTCACGGAAAGGGAAACAAAAACTTACTATTTTTTCATTTTAAATTCAAAATCTTGACGATAAAATCAACAGTTCAGTGGACCACGTATATGTATGCCTAATGGTTAAGACTAAACTGGTTAAAAAGTACGGGATCGAAAAAATTGTCGAACCACTGATAAAAGATTTTATGTCCTTGCAATCCAACCAAGGTGTACAAGTGAAGGTAAACGGTCAAAATTATACTTTGCGAGCTACTTTGATTCATATTCTGGGTGATACTGGGGGCCTCAGATAGCCTAGTCGGTAAAGGCACGGTATTACCAAGCCGGAGGCGGCGGGTTCGATTCCCGGTCCGGTCGAGGGAATCTTTCGGGTTGGAAATTTTCTCGACTTCCCTGGGCATAGTGTATCATTGTACTTGTCACACAATATACAAATTCATGCATTGGTACTGACATCGGAAGCTCTCAATTAATAACTGTGGAAGAGCATCTAGAACACTAAGTTGAGAGCACGCAATAAGCTAATATGCGAAAAGCAATAAGCTTGAAATGCGAAGAAGAAGAAGAAGAAGAAGTAATACTGCCGCCATCCATGAGCTACTGCATCTTATGCCTCCCCAATCAAAAATGTTTTGTAGAGCTTGCTACATAGCACGACAAGACCTCCACAACGGACAATTTGGAAACGAACATACGCCAAGAACTCGTGAAAGTTATCAGCTTGATCTGGCCGCTATTAAAAATGGTTCGACTACTCCAGCAATATGTGGAATCATTCGAGAAAATGTCTTCAGTTCATTGAAATATTTTCATATTTCAGAGAACATTTCTTTCGATCCCATGCACGATGTGCTCGAAGGTATAGTGCCTCTGGTCCTCAAGCAAATATACAATTTTTTTGTCAATGTTTCGAAATCCGTATCTGAACATGAGCTGAATGCGAGAATAATTAACTTCGATTATGGTGAAGTAATGAAATTGGGTTGTTAGCGGAATGCTTTAATAAAACAGCAAAAAAGGTTATCTTCCATTTAATTCCACTTAATTAATTTTGGTATCCATGACAGATACGTATTTCGACTACAATGTGCAGTCTTCATCAGCGTCATTCCCACCAAGTGGGAATGACGCTGATGAAGACTGCACATTGTAGTCGAAATACGTATCTGTCATGGATACCAAAATTAATTAAGTGGAATTAAATGGAAGATAACCTTTTTTGCTGTTTTATTCGATTATGGTATTGCGGAGAGTAGGGATAAACCATGTGGTAACTTTTCTGCTAAGAGATTGAAAAAGTCTGGACATGCATTATCTCAATCTGCCTCGGAAACCTGGCTTTTACTCCGTGCGACCCCTTTCCTTTTCACTGACCTTTTAACCAAAAATGAAAAATTCATGAGTATTATACGCGACATCCTAAAAATTACATACTATTCGTTTTCAAACTCACAGTCAAGAGAAATGATCGAAGATTTCAGAAGTGCTATCTGTAATTTTCATTCTAGTTTTAAGCAATGCTTTCCTTCAATCAGGCCAACTAACAAAGTTCACCACATCGCTCACTATCCTAAAATCGTGGAAAATAATGGTCCGATAGGTAAGATGAACTGTCTTCAGTTTGAGGCTAACTTTAAGATATCTAAAGCGCAATCAAAAACTTGTAGAAATTTCAAAAACATCACATTAAATTTGACGAGCAGAATTAATCTTAAGCAAATCAATTCAATTTTACATCATAATTACGAAACTGATAAAGTTACTGTTGTGTCTGCAGTGATCGTGAAGAAGACCTTTTTTGATTTTTATTTGATTCTATTTGATCTACCTGATAATGTCAGACACATTAAGCATTTAAAAATCAATGGTACATCTTTGCGACCTGAAATAGTGGTCAAGTATAAGTCATATGCCTCTGAAACATATGGCATTTTAAACGCAATAATTGAGAACGACAATAACTGTATTTGTATTATTCAGGTTTTAGAGTTGCAACAATTTTGGGCAATGTATAATAGTTACGAAGTGAGATTGGTGGATCAGGTTGTGCGTATTCCAATTGACACTATTTCGACTAAAAAAACGTACAGTAGATTAGGAAATTTTTTACAATAAAAATGCTGAATGTTCCAGTGACAAGCTTTGTGTATTTGTAGTATGAATATCCAGAGATACATGAATTATGTCATTACCACAATTTTTTTACAGCGCAAAAGTTTTCAGATCAGTCGTTGATGTTTCTCAGCGATGAGCACTTACTTTCCATTGGCAGAGAGGAAATGGGACCTCGGCTGATAATTCTATCGGTCGTCGCAAAACTGAAGCGCAAGGCTTTAGCAGAAGCAGTTTCAAACTCGGTTCCAAATACTGCAAGTGCCTCGTTAGCAGGCCCTGAACCCACGTCGTCGTCTTTAAACGAAGAGGAAACAACTAGAACAAATCAGGTAACTAGATAACAATTTCATTTCAATTCAGATAAATAATTTCATACCTCTCATTAGATCCGCGATTTGCTGGAGCGGGATGCAAGATTCAGGAAGGTTCTCTACACCAAACTGGATGCCAACATTATTCCTAAGCACACAGAGTTGCTTTTGATGGTGCGAATCCTCTGCAACGATTTGGTTTCCAAGTTGAAGAACGAAAAAATGTAAGCAAAACTTATTTGATAATATCAGCCCAGGCAACTCGTAGACGCTTGTAGATTTCACTCCAGTTTTTTGTTTGTTTTGGTTGTGTAACGCATTCACATATTCCGTTACCAAAGTCTCCTATATTTTCATTTTGATTACGTATGCTATGAAAGCAAAAACTGTTCTAGCGCTAACTTTGAACCGGACGAAAGTCATTTGGGAAAGAAATTAAGGTTGTGAATCCACCGACAAATCGACATGAAATTTGAACATAACTATGAAGCTACACTTCGTAAGTACGGAAGCTGTCATGATGTTATAGGGGGCTGAATATTACTGCCTGACAAGCACTTCAAAAATAATTAAAGCTATGTAAATTTAAGTGTCAATGTTTAGGTCAATGTATTTTTTATATAATGGTTACGTTATAATTACAGATACCCTACAACCAGCGAAAAGAAGGAGTTGGCGTGTGATATTATTTCTGCTTTCCTTCATCTAAGGTCTACAAAATTAACAGAGAACGCTCCAGATTATGTAAGTATTCAGAATGTTAAAATTTATTTGAAGATTTTTAATTGATTTTATTTTTTGTAGTCTTTGTTCTTTTGGCAGAATTGCGGAAAGAGAGCAGGACATGCTCATTCCGGCCTAATACATACCCATATCCGAAATTCCTGCAGATCGAAATCACCAAGTAAAAGGAAGTATTCTCGACAGCCGAAAACTTTCGAAGCATCTAGCGTATCATCCGAAATAATTGTGTTGTCCGAAGAATGTGCACAACTGGATGCGACACCGGCTAATTTTAGCAATATATCCACACTGATGGCAGACATACAACCGTTTCATAACCTACTTATACATGGCAAGAAAACAGTAACTGCCATCCTCCAAGATCTACCACATTATACATCATATAATGGTTTCATGGTACGTATAATACACATTTTGTAAACTTAAAAAAAAAAACTATCAAGTTTGCTTTGATTTCTTAGATTCGTAAGGCATATGAACGCATGAATCCCGCCTACGATTCGGAATCAGATTTGAGGAAAATATTTTCTTTGGGCCTTATGCTTGAAAGCGAAACGTTTACAGAAGTTCGAGATGGTAAGTTTAAATATATTATGCTTGTCAGCGTAAGGTTGCTACTCATATTAATGTTAAATAAGTTAGCATCATTGGCACCATTACAAAGAAGCAATAAAAAACTTAACCACTCAGAAGTAAACTTATCATGGATATCGAGTATTCATTACGTGTTAAATGACATTTTCTTCTAAATGTAGATCATGTCCGCGGATGCCTCCGAATCATGGGACAACTGTCCAGAAAAGGCGTTAGAAAACCGCCAAACGTGATGCCATTGGGAGTTGAGAAGGAGTTGGCAGCACTGCTGATTCGATGGATTGGTGTAAGTATTTTTAATATTTTGCTATTTTGCAAAATTAATATCGTTACCTTTTTATCAATAGGAATCCCCTTCGGCGTTAGCTATACAAATGGGAAAATATGCAGCGTACACAGTTCTGCATAATGCGCCGGTGCCTCCCCACATTGTTAACCAGGGAAACGTCTACATGATGTTCATTGAGGGCCATATTTTTTCCTTGGGTACTAGTTCAGTCCAAGCAGTAGATACATTTGTAAAAATTTTCAGTGTTTTTAACTACAAGGTACCAGCTACATTGATAAAGCTGACTGAATTAGTTGAAATACTTAGCTATAAAGTAAAAATGAGCAGTTCACGACTCTCAGTTAATAAACTTTGTAATCAAATGCGTGAGACGATTGATGCTAATTAAATCTAGAAAGGATTAAATAAATAAATAAATAAATATTACTGTTAAAATTCTTGTGCATTTTTATTCAATATTTGAAATTTGTTTTATCGTAGGTATAATTTTTATTTTCATTGTAAAAACTATGCATTTAACTATACATGTGGGAGTATAAATTACGCATTTATACTTTGTTCGGGGCGTCAAAACTACGCATTTTTAAGTTTACTATGTGGTGTAAAAAGTATGCAGATTCTAACGTACATTCAATTTACGCAAAAGAGAGTAAAAACAGTATACTCCTTTATTGGGTAGTCCCATTTTCCAAAGAAAGAGCGTACTTTATAGTCATAAGAGAGTTTGTTGTGATAACCGTGTATGGAAAAAGGCTAGAAGACGTGAACCAAAAGTGCGAATTTCCCATAGTAATTTCCATATAAACTTTAAATGGTTTGTGCCAAGTCAGTTTCTTACTAAATTAAATTATATTTTGTAAAGTTAATTTGGACCCGTTTGAGTACTGCGCAGCGAAAATTTCAAATTATGCATCAGTCTAGTACACATCCTGCCCGTTTTGATGAAATGAAGAAAAAGTTACAGTTGAAATAAATCTGCACACGCTTCTGTTACCGGAGCTAAAGAATCCCCCCTAAATCAGCCCCATCAAGATGAAGATCAAGATAGCCGGAGAGCGGAGAAGAAACAAAAAAAGCGAAAACGTCAAAAGAGAAGAGCCCCTCGCAATATTACGCGCGTGTGGAGTGGAGGAGAGTGATGTTTCTTTTTTTTTCGCCACACAATCGAGAGTGCGGTTATCGCTAAATGAGTATCAATCAGCGGGTGGGATTAGTGGGCATTGTAGTGGTATGTTTTGGAAGATTTGAAGGTTATTTGGCTGCGAGGCAGACAGGCAAGCGAAAACGAAACGAACTAAAAACGATGACCGAGCAGGTTTTTCCCTCGGCGATTACCCACGGGCTTCCAGTTTCGGGAGATTCTAAAGAATTTCGATTTCATTTCAATTGGTCTATGATTTCGCTCTCATCCAAGGAACCCGCGGTGGAATGGAAAACTGCAACCGATCTTCAGCTCGGTCATCATTTAGAAAATTGCCTGCAACTGTCAATCATCATAGCAAGCATTGCGCCTCAAGTGCCTATTTTTTTACCTGAGAGTGACAGCGAAAAAAACACCAAACGTGACCCCAATCGATTGCGGTGAATCGACAGAAAATCGTAGACGTAGTTGGTTACAGAAAATTGTTACACTCGCATCTAATGGCACACAAATTGGCCAAGCAGGTACGAGCCCGGTCGAAGCGAAAGTAATAAGCTGGAGGAGCAAAAAAAAAAGTGCTGCGTTCAGCTAACCCGGAATTTCCCATAAATCGCCGCAAACTCCTACACACCACCGCGACGCGCTTCCTTTGCAATCAACCGAGAGCGCACCTGACAGCGCGCAGCTTAGCTCCGGGTCGGTCCGCCCGTCACACGTGAGTGGTGTTACATTTTCTTATAAAGGCGGTCGGTCGTGTCGTGGTCGTGAGTTGGGCCTGGGAAGGGGCCACCATTTCCTGCTTCCTTCAAAGTTTTTGGTGGAAAAGTGAGCGGGAAAGGGTGTGGAAAGCCCACGCGTTTCTGCAGGCCTCATGAGTGGTAGGTTATCCACTGAAGATTTTGTTGTTGTTTTGTTGAGCAGTGTTTATATGCTAAGAAATCCGCTGCCCATGTCCGTATGTCAGTGTTCACGGGGTGTGAAGAGTTTGGTCAGTTGGACACGGATGTTATGCAACTGTGTTCGCAGGAATTAGTAGGCTATGAGTTCCGACGGTTTACCGAAATCGGTTAACAGTGTACCAGAAAGGGGCAGTAGGCTACGGGTTTGCTGCTGTGAAAAAGTCGAGGAAAAAGCTGGGTTTACAAATTTGGATGGAATTTTCCAGTTGGAGAGGCGTGTTTGTCCATTGGAGTACCGTTGATCCGGGAGCTGATTTCAAGATTGATCATTCTTTGCTTTGTGACGTTAAATCGTTTTTCTCTATCTACAGGGTGTATACTCATTTTTCTAAATAATATTTCCTGAGTTTTCCAGGTTTTTCCAGAACATTAACGGTTAAATTCCACGCTTATAATAAGAAAGCATTTTAAAAATGCGTTCAAAATATGCATTTTTCTGGAAGATCAAAAACAACAGTAAATTAACCCAATCGTTTTTAAGACATGGTAATCAGTTTTAAAGAAACAACTTTATAATCAAATCCATTGAATGTTGAAGTTTAGCACTTACTTAATTTCTCACTTTAATAAAGTTAAAAAAAAACGTACTTAGTTTGAGTAAGTCCAAGGTCTTAAAATATTCAATGTCTTGATGTTTTGTATTCCATGTACTAGTTCAAGACATTGAAAATTTTTAAAGTGCTTGATTTAAGGAAAACATTAAATGATTTATTTAAAGTTCGTAATTAAAGTAATTTATGAAAGATTAGAGATCTTCATTGCAGTCACAATAAACTTCACAACAATTGTAGGAACTTTGAAGAAATGCTTAGAATTTCAGTGAAGCTCCATAAACAAACTGCGGGATCCTCAGATCGGTTTTTTTAACATTCGAAAACTTTCAGGAACTTTTATGAAGTTACTAGAATTTCAGAGCACATCACAGGTAACTTGAGAAATATAGAAATATTGTGCAAATTTTTAAGAAGTTCTAAGCACCTCAGAAAAGCTAGATCAAGAGATATTTGGGGAATTTCAGATCTTACCTTGAGTTGCCTTGAGTTGAGACTTTTTGGAGTAGTTTAAATATCTTTAATCGTAAATTTAGAAAAATTGAGAACCCTTAAGATGTTCCGAGAAAAGGGAAGTACAGAGACCATCAAAGAGTTTATGAAAACTTCAGAAATATTTCAGGAACTTTACAGAAGTCCAAGGAAGTTCAGGGAAATTTTAATTGAGAGCTTTAGGGAAGCATTGAGAACATCAAGACAGATCAGATAATCAAAGGGCAGTTCAAATAGTTTCAAGGAAATTGTAGAAACCTTAAAGAAGTTCCGGAAGCTTCAGCAAAGCTCCAACAGAATTTCTGGAACGTGATAAAAAGTATATGAACATCCGGAAAACGCGAGAGTATTTTAAGGGTGTTATCGAAGACATCATATCAAGAAGACTGGCAACTTTGCCAGAATCCAAGCGACAGATACAATAGCGCTGCGCTTGAGTGAAGGTGGAAGCAACGCATAGAAAAATGAGCAAATACACAAACCCTTCTTTTGAGGATGCAATCTTTGCTATCAAATTCGTTCGAAGCATTTACCTTTGAGCGGCAGATGACGCGATTGTATCTGTCTCATAGCGTTCGTATGAGAAAATGGAAGAGTTGCCAGTCTTCTTGATTTGTTGTCTTCGGTGTTATGGAGTTTTCAAGAACTTTCAAAAATGTCAAAATTTAGCTAAGTTGATTAGAGAATGTCAACGAAGTTCCATAAATTAAATTACTTTTTACTTTTAGCTAGCAGCGATAAATATCTTTAAGAATTTTGACTATATGTTTTTAGTATTACTTCTACGTGAAGTCAACGATTTACATAGTTGAAGATGCTAATTTCAAATAACAGACTGTAGTGGTAATTTTTATACGATAGATGGAGTAGATGAAAGCATAGAGTTGATAGTTCCGTTAGAGTACGGCAGTGTGAAGATTGCATATAGATATTAGAATAGCGAGCTAGAACAACTTTTAAGGAAGGTACAAATCGGTTTTTTCATCTCTCTTTACCAAACTCCCCCTTTGGAGAGGGATGGTGAGGGGTGTCCCCCCCCCCGCCACCACTGGCAAAAAGAGATGAAAACCGACCCGTTCAAGTACCAACTGTGTGTTTGAAACAGTTCTTCCGATTTTTTACCGCACTTCAATTGTTATTTGAAGGAAGGCATCCAGTCGTAGGTTTGGAAATTGCAACTATTGTTTACCCCTACCACGATATGTGCTCCTGTCATCGTCGACTTGACGATCTCGAGGGGACACGGGTGGGGTAGGTGTTGCTACTGTACCTTTCGACCATTGACAGTAATTGATGGTATGCTCCCATCCAGAGTTATGTTTTTTTAATTACCACTACAGTCTGTTATTTGAAATTAGCATCTTCAACTATGTAAATCGTTGACTTCACGTAGAAGTAATACTAAAAACATATAGTCAAAGTACATAACTCTGGATGGGAGTATACCATCAATTACTGTCAATGGTCGAAAGGTACAGTAGCAACACCTACCCCACCCGTGTCCCCTCGAGATCGTCAAGTCGACGATGACAGGAGCACATATCGTGGTAGGGGTAAACAATAGTTGCAATTTCCAAACCTACGACTGGATGCCTTCCTTCAAATAACAATTGAAGTGCGGTAAAAATCGGTAGAACTGTTTCAAACACACAGTTGGTACTTGAACGGGTCGGTTTTCATCTCTTTTTGCCAGTGGTGGCGGGGGGGGGGACACCCCTCACCATCCCTCTCCAAAAGGGGGAGTTTGGTAAAGAGAGATGAAAAAACCGATTTGTACCTTCCTTAAAAGTTGTTCTAGCTCGCTATTCTAATATCTATATGCAATCTTCACATTGCCGTACTCTAACGGAACTATCAACTCTATGCTTTCATCTACTCCATCTATCGTATAAAAATTACCACTACAGTCTGTTATTTGAAATTAGCATCTTCAACTATCTTTAAGAAGTTCGAGAGAACTTAGAATTTAGATAGTTTCGTGATATTCTGCGCAGTTCCGAGTACTTCGAGGACGATCAGATAGCTTCAGAATAATCCCATTAACTTAAGCAAATTTGCAGCGACTTACAAGGAATTCCGTGGATTTATGGGGCATTCCAAGAATTCTATGATTGATTCAAAAACGTCAGGGAATTTTGAATATTTATGTATCAGAAAATTTTCCGGATTATTAAACAAATTAAGAGAACTTCAGGTAAGCATAGATAAGTTCAGGGAAAATAACTGAGCGCTCATAATGGTTAGA